TTATACTTTTTCATTATCTAACTGACGGACTAATTAGATTTTTCATTTTCATACACTGTCAACTATTATGATGAAACAATGTTATTTGAGTTGAAATGTGTTTGTGCAGATGCCATGAACTAAACCTAATAGATGAATGCAAGCAGTTCCCACCTCGAGCGGCGACCAAGGAAGAGTTGTGTGTGCTGCACGCGCCCTCTGTGTACGACTTGATGGAAACTACGCACCACAACAACGACCTCCAGTACTTGGAGGGGATCTCCGCCAAATATGACGCCATCTACATACACCCAGTGAGTTGGAATTTAAACTTTATTTTTTAAAGGCTCAGGTTCTTATTTGGATGACATGGCATAGAAGTTAACACGTTTTTGTTTTGACTGCCTCATTGACCGAGTGGTCGCAAGTGTGACTGCCGGGCAAGGGGTCTCGGGTTCGATTCCCGGGTCGGGCAAAGTATTACTGGGCTATTCAAAAAATTCACGTAGTAGCACGGAGTCTGGAATTTTGCCCGGTATATGGCAATAGGCTTACCCCCTATTACATGGGACTCATAACACAAATAGTGAAAAGTGGGTGTTACATTGTACAGTGGCATAATGTACACCTCTGCCTATCCCTTCGGGGATAATAGGCGTGATGTTATGTTATTACGTTTTTGTCAAGCTGTATATTATTTAATTCATATTTGATATTATTTTTTATTTTCTTTCTTCTAGTCGACCCACGAGCTAGCCCTGTTATCAGCCGGGTCTACAATCGACCTAGTGGACCGGATAGTGTCCGGGGAAGTACAAAACGGCGCGGCATTGATCCGGCCGCCCGGCCACCATGCCATGAGGGACGAGCCGTGTGGATACTGCTTCTATAACAACGTCGCTTTAGCTGCTAAACATGCCATCGATAAACGGGGCCTTAAAAGGTAATAATAATAATAATTTGCTTTATTGTACACCACATAATACACATAATACACAGTACTACAGGACAATATTACTTTACTAAAATAGAGTACAATGAGGGGCGGTCTTATCGTACAAGGCGATTTCTTAAAGACAATTAGTATTGTTTTACTTATAAAAACGATTGATTTTAAACCTTATTGTTTTGTGTTAAAGTTCATTTTTATAGTCTTAGTCCAATATTTCATTTCACTTTTGACCGCGCTTGATGTACCTACTGTTATTTTTGCAATATCTAAGTTACGTTGTGGATCGCATAAAATGAAGCATTTTTAATGTTTACAATAAATAGTTACTTATACAGCTTACTATACTTACTATACTTACTATACTTATACAGCAAGTGAAAGTCAACTCTATCTCTGTTTTAGAAAGTACATTTTTACTTGCAGGATACTAATAGTGGACTGGGATGTACATCACGGACAAGCCACTCAGCAGATGTTTTACAATGACCCCAGGTATGTTTATGATATTCCCATTATACTTGCTACACAAAAAACAGTTTTTTTCCTTTTACTTACAGTATATTTTTGTATGCATAAGTTTAGATGAGCTATACGTAATAAATAAAATGACTTTTGCGAAAATTTTCTGAATGTACCTAAAATTAGTAGTATTCTATCGAAAGATAAATAGGCTTCGAAGCCATTGTCCATTTTCTATTAACACCACTGCTTACAACTAGGCGATGTAGTGGCCAAACGTCGGCCCATCAAATATACATATAAAGAACAATTTACATTTACTTGACTAAGAAACACAAGATGTACATAAGTAGGTACAGAATGCGACCCAATGCACGAAAGAATATACTTGTATTTATAAACAACTAAATTATTACATTACATACTTAAAACATACACAATAAAGTTACTTTGAGTAGACGAGGGTAATCTTAAAAATATTGGGTCGAGAATATCAAACATTATATTTTTACTAATAGGAATTTGCAATGGCAATGGGTAGCAATGCAATAAATAAATAAAAAGTAGCTATCGTAAAAACGTCATCATCAGTCGTCATCAACAGCCTATAATTGCTCACTGCTGAGCAAAGCCTCTTCTCACACGGAGAAGGTTTGAGCATTAATCACAACGGTTGCTCAATGCTGGTTGGCGATTACAAACTTATAAATAGAAATTATAAGCCCAGCATTCCTCACGATGTTATATTATTTTATTTATTTTATTTTTTATTAAAACTCGGAAAATGTAACATTGTTACTTGCCGTTGATAGGTTTCGAGCCTGCGCCCTCATGCATGAGAAGCTTAAGTTTTAAACATTCAGAGGTTTGATTGTGTGGGGTATGTGCATAAGTGTGTGCGCTGACGCGTGCACTTTATGTATGTATGCTTAGCGTTAAGTGTCCACAGTTACAGTAATCTAATTAAATTCATTCGATGTCTATAAACCGAGCGTTTCACTTGTGTTCGATATCCCGACTCACACACCACAAATACACACACCTACAATTGATTGATGCCACCACGACGTAATAAAACGCACGACGTAAAAACGTACAAGGAACCAGAAGCTATTAACTCGTCGAGTACCGGTTTTGTAGACACAATTATAGAACAATAGGTTGCGGTCACCGGTGACCGCTTAGTGTTTGACAGTTTAATGTACTCATTTTAAATGGAATTAGTCACAACCCTTCTTATTATTATTATTATTTTCTAGAGTCGTATACTTCTCAATCCACCGCTACGAGCATGGTGCATTCTGGCCCAACCTGAGACAGTCCAACTTCAACTACGTGGGCTCCGGACTGGGCAAGGGACACAACTTCAACATCCCCCTCAACAAAACTGGCATGAAGGATGCTGACTACCTCGCCATATGGCATCAGTTGCTGCTGCCCATGGCTTTGGAAGTAAGTTGACAAATTATACAGGTAAGTTTAACTTACAAATATAAACAATTGGTACTTGTAACTCAAGAATTTCTCCATTTGAAAAGGCCAGCATTTAGTCTGTAACTCGTTTGCTCTTAACCCAGAGAAAGTAGGTTAGAATACATAATTATCTGTTATAAAATTTTCTGGCCAGGAATCAAATTTAGAGCTTTATGGAAGTCTGATACGCAATTAATTTCGCAAATCAAGACAAATTTTTACCTAAATATACCAGGAGAAAATTCATAGACTGGACCATAATAGTTCTTAATTCCATGTACTGAAGAACTGTTATTGTGTAACTGTAGCACTTTTATACAAAAATCGTCCTTAATACTTCAATATAAAGTATATTTTTGTTACAACAGTACCACCCGGAGCTCATCATAATATCAGCTGGCTACGACGCGGCGTACGGCTGTCCTGAGGTACATATGTTTATCTCTTTCTAACGATAGCGTTTTGTATTTCTATCTCTTTCAGTTCGGCCCCGAACTTGTTATCGTGTCGGCTGGCTTTGACTCGGCTATAGGAGATGAAAAGGTTTGGCTATAGTTATAGAGATTTTGGAAAATGCCTGTCTTTTGTATGGGTGTATGCTGCTATTGCTTTCTTATGAGGGCTATTGCATTTTTGCTCATCAGGTCGCGCTAGTGTGTATGTGCGCTCTCGTTCGTCCAATAGGGAATGCGCTAGTATCATTTCTTCCTTGAATCATTTTTGTTTCATACCTTTGTATCCATATTTTATTATCCTGTGTTTATATTAAAACTTTCGTGAGACACATTAAATCAATTATTATGTTTTCGGCTTACTCGCGTAACTGCTTGACGAGGAACTCGACTAGTTTCAAGCCATGCTAGAGGCTCATATTCATGAGCTGTAATCCGCGACCCGAGACGCGGCGACTGTCGCGCTATTACTAAGCCTGCTCAGTAGCAGTCTCGTGCGACAGCATAGCTTGAAACTAGTCAAGGTCCTCGTCAAACAGTTACGTTTAGCCGAAACATAATAATTAATTTTATTATCCTCATCTTTTTCATATATCACTAGCTTCTGCTAGCGGCTTTGGCTGCGTGATAAAGTAACATATATGTATTATTCCAGACTATTGTCTGTTTCACCCCTGTTCCAAATTTCATCCCAATCCCTTTAGCCGTTTTGACAGACAAATATACAACTTTCGCATTTATAATATTAGAAGGGTTTAAAAATACTGATTTTTTCCTTTACAGTTTTTTTTTCTCAAAATTAGCATAGAATCTAGAATTGTCTGGAATAATTAGATTTGATAAAACCATAGAAATTTCATGGAACCTAGATATGTTGATATTATGGTATGAGACTCGTCCAGTATTACGTGGGACTCGTGATGTAACTGGTCAAAAGTGAGTGTTAAATTGTATATACATATATGATATGATTTTCTATTTTTTTTTTGGGTATTGTGAAGTCTTAGTATGAGTTTGTTTTAGGTTAAAAGTACAATCGAAACGAGACCGCGTTCGGCGCTCTGATTGGTTGGTTTTTTTGAGCCAGCCAATCAGAGCGCCGAACACGGTCTCGTTTCGTACTAAACTCTCTGTAATTCAAATGTTAAAGGGGCACATTTCACTACATAGTATAAAACAAAGTCGCTATCCGCCATCTGTCTGTCCCTATGTATGCTTAGATCTTCAAAACTACGCAAGGGATTTTGATGCTGTATTTTTTTTTAATAGATAGAGTGATTCTTAAGGCTGGTTTATATGTATAATACATGCATATTGCGCCCGTGCGAAGCCGGGGCGGGTCGCTAATACATGATAAAATCGCTTAATGGCTGTCTATTTCTAAGATTATATGCATGTGTTAATTTTTTGCAAGCATTACGGTTTCCAAATTCAATGAACAAACATAAATCTATTTTTGACTTGTCACTAGTTTGTCTGCTCTAAAGCATCACTTTCACCGTTACGATGTTCACCAAAGATAACAGTGAATGTCGGACTTAATGCCTTGAGGCTTTATTTTGTATCTTACTCTGAAGGTGTAGTACGAGTTATGTTTAATGAAATCAAAATCAAAAATCACACAGACAGATGCATGTATACAAGACGAACAAGAGAAGGTTGCACATGAGACATGTTTGCCACTCGTCATGGCATGCAAATTTCATATTACAAGTCAAATTTTAATAATATTGTAATAATCAATGAATTTTTAATAATTGCAATTGTCAGAATTTTAATTATTAAATTATTATAAATCGAAACGTTACCTCGTTTAGCTTTCTGACTATTAGTTCATTGGAGCAGACCAATTAGCGCGCCGAACGCGGTATCGTTTCGATCTTGTTAAACGTAAAACAAACAAACCCTGGTCGTTGTGGATACTCTTCCTATTTGCCTGCAAAGAAACGGAGTCACTGGCGTTTTTTTTCTTTTTAATTTCTTGATTAATGTTTTCTGATACCAGTACTTTATTAATTGGTAACGTATGTCGTATAAAAGGCAATTTATTTACCTTTAAAATGAGAGCATGTTGTTGCTAAAGTAATACTTTTTATAAAGTACTAGCTTCTCCCCGCGAATTCATACGCGCTATCCCGTTATTTCTCGTTCCCGTTCGTGGTTTTCGATGAAACGTTAAATTACGGAAACGGATTATGGAAAAACGGAGACGGACGTCTCCTTGTTCTAAGCTTTCTCCCAACATTCATCGAAATCGATTTAGCTTGATTTATAAATAGTGTAACTAACACGACTTTTTTATTTACCTCGTGTGTTCATAAGTTTTGAGACAAATTAAAAGTTGCATATCTTTTTAAATAATAAACTTATATTTATAAAAACAATAACAAACATTAAGTAGATAGTAAGTAAAAATTAAATATAATTATTATTCAAAATGACCACCCCTGTTTTTAATACATGCCCTTAGACGATTTGGCCAGTCATCAATGGCGGCACGAATCTTTTCCAGAGGAATTCGCTTCGCTTCTCGGACAAGAGCTCGCTTAAGTGACTCCAAGTTTGGGTGGGACTTTCGGCAGGCTCTGAGCTCTAATTCGGTCCATAGAGAATAATCCAGCGGGTTGAGGTCGGGGCTGGAGGAGGGCCATTCGTTCGCCGCAATGAAGGCCGGCACATTTTCCTTCAGCCAAGCTTGGGTGGTTTTAGCCTTATGGGATGGCGCCGAGTCTTGCTGGAAAACCCAATACTTGTTATGGAATAGGGTATTAGACAGGGGTTTCACAACAGTCTCTAGAATGTCACTTTGATAATTTTTGGCTTTCACCTTGACGCCTTGTTGGCAGAAATGAAGCTGAGTGACACCTTCGTACGAAACTCCCCACCATACCATGACACTAGCCGGATGATGAGTACGCGAGACATTCCGTGCTGAAGGTGGGACATCCTTGCTACTTTTGGCATACACTTTATTGTTTTGTCGATTGAACTTTTCTTCGACGGTAAAGATTTTCTCGTCGGTGAAGAGTATCTTCCTCGCATCGTGTCTCCTAAGCAGTATTGGACAACGTTCGCGTCGCAATTGACGAAGGCGATCGTTTAAAAAGTGTACTTTTCTACGGCTATACGCCTTAACCTTGAGATCATATTTCAGTATTCTGTTGACTGAAACGCGCGAAATATTGGTCTGCAGAGCGAGTTTCTTCTGAGTGCGACATGGATTTCGGCGAAGTCGCTCTCGGATGATTTTAATGTTCGCAGGCGTCCTCACAGAGCGTGGACGACCACTTCTTTGCCGATCATGTAAAGAACTTGTCTCCTGGTATCGTTTAATAGTGTAATACACGAAGTTACGGCTCACACCAAAACTTTTCAGTTCTCGGAAAATGTCCATAGGTTTTCTTCCCACCTTAAATAATGAAATGACGGTCGCACGTAATTCTTTTGTTCCCTCCATTACGAGAGAATTTAAATAAAATAATCCGAAAACATAGATATTAAAAGTTTACATTCCAAATTCAAAATTTTTATTTTATTTTTATAAGCAAAAAGTTTGTCTCAAAACTTATGAACACACGAGGTATATATACTGTAGATAGATGATTCGAAAAAAAAAAATCGCTATTGGCTCCGTATCTTTGCTCCGAAGTGTATTAACGAATTATTCATTTTTCGCAGTTTATTTTAATATTATTATCTTGTTTAGGGGGAAATGGAGGTAACTCCAGCATGTTACGCGCACCTGACGCAGGCGCTGGCGGCCGTGTGCCCGCGCGTGTGCGTGGTGCTGGAGGGGGGGTACTGCGTGACGTCACTGGCCGAGGGCGCGGCGCTCACGCTGCGCACTCTGCTCGGACGCGCGCCGCCACTGCTCGACGACCTCACAGAGCCCACTGATGAGTGAGTGACTAAACTGTACCAAGAAAGCCATAGATGTTCTTTATAGGCTTGTTTAAAGCAATTAATGCTGTAATGATGTTTACTAGGTTAGTTATTCGTTAGTATTGTCTATCATTCATAATGTTTTACTCATAAATAATTGGTTGTCATCTTTGCATGACATGTTTTATTGAGGTTCTATGATAATTAACTTTAGTAGTTTTGTCCTTCCCCACCTCTTCATTAACAGACTATAGTTGATTGCTTTCAGAAGCTTCATATTCTCAGGAAAGGTAGCCTGTTTGTTATCCTATACCTACTTAAATATAGCCCTGTTTCATATAAATCTATTTATCAGATCTAATATATTTGTAAGTTAACTAAAAATTGCGGGTTACTCACGTGAATATACTGATACGCGGCAATATACTGATGCGTGACATCACTGTGACCGCGCACGCTACTCATGAGGAAGAATCTCTCTGTAGGTCGAAACTAGTAGAGCTTTTCTCAGTATATTCACGTGAGTAACCCGCGATTTCAGTTCATGTAGTATGTCTCACGATAGTTATTATAAAAACATATTTGTAAGTATTCAAATCCTACAATTGTCCTTCACAGAATAAAAGAAACAATATTAAACTGTATATACGCACAGAAGCCATATTGGAACTGCTACAACTTTCAACAGACGTACTCAACGAGCGGCCCGCCCAATGTATGCGATGAAGCGAAAGAGAAACATACAGTTGTAGTAAGGTGGGAGGGAGACGAAACTAGACCTGATACCTTCGCTACTAGGAACTGTTATCCCGTACAAGATGATGGTTTTAAGAAGAGAATCGCTGAACGGTTGAACCATCTTAGATTGGGTGAGTTATTTAATATTAAATTAGGCACAATTTATTCATTTTATTTATTTATTTAATATGCTTCATGCACAAAATGTACAAATGACTTAATGCCACAGGCATTTTCTTCCACCGGAGCCGCGGAAGACTTAACAGGTTACCGGGGCTCCGGCTCAAAGTGCAGGAGTAGAAACGGGATGGTTTTTAGTCAGTAAGATTCTGACACTTCCTCTCGCCTCACCCAGGCGGGAGAAGTCATTGGATGATTTTCCCTCCCTCAAAAAAAAGGCATTAGCCAGTCTGACCTTTAGGTGATGCACAATCAGATGCGATTTAAACTTACAGAACTTCTTAGGCAAGCGGCTCAAAAAAGGAAAAGTTTATTTATTTTGCCTCTTTAGCATTACAAAAGTGCATGACATAGCCCCAGTAAGTTGTAAAAAGACTTGTATCGCGGTTTTTAATATCATAGGTACACCTAAGTTTTTTGGCGCTACTGCTATTGGCTCGCTTATCACTTCTGTAACCTAGCGTTTCTAGCCACTTGCCTAGTATGCCATACGGCTATGGCCACAATACGGCTACTGCTAAGCATAGGCGCCCATAGTCCTGTAGAACTGTCGAATATCAAGTAATAAAATAAATGGATTGCCTCGTTGGCCAAGTGGTCGCAAGTGCGACATAACGTACATAATATTATAATATTAGCAGATAAGTAATAGTTTCGGAGTTTTTGTGCAAACTATTGACTAAATTGACTGCCTCGTTGGCCGAATGGTCGCAAGTGCGACTGCCGGGCAAGGGGTCTCGGGTTCGATTCGTTGGTAGGGTATTACAAAGTATTACTGGGTATTGTAAAAATTCTCAGTAGTAGCACGTAGTCTGGAACTGTGCCCGGTATATGGCAATACCTAACCCGTCGGGGATAAAAAGGCGTGATGTTATGTAAAATAAATGGAAATGCCTAAAAATAATTATTGTCTAAAAAAACACATTCTATTACTTTTAGTTAACGTCTTGATAAAAGATATTTATGTTGCTTGCAATCTTAAATATTTTTTGTTTGTTTTAGTCACTGATTTGTCAGCGCCGCAACACGCAGTTGGATATATTTACGATCAAGCTATGCTGAAGCACAAAAATATTTGCGAACCGTAAGTACTATTAACTTTGCAAGCAATATTAGACTTTATCCCACAGAAATTAAGTTAAATATTGTTAATGAATAAAAATGAAAATATTCCATTAACATTATTTTTAGCGATAACTTACATAAACTTCTATACGATAAGCATCCCTATACTATTCACAATTAAGTTGAAATTCGCCTTCGCTCCACAGACTTCACAACTTCAACACACAAAAAAGAACCTTACATATCTAAAAATACTGTTCAATTTCCAGTGGGCACGTAGAATGCCCGGAACGAATAATGCGCATACACGAACGTCATAGAGACTTCGGTCTTTTAGACCGAGTACATCAACTTACTGCCAGGCAGGCAACGGACCAGGAGATATTGGCTGTACATACTGAAAAACATTTAAACAGGTATGTAGGAAAATATTATACTTTATGATAATGGTAATTAAGTTCATTTTATAAATCAAGGTAATAAGAAAGTTTGAATAAAAAGTGACAGTTGTTATATGGGTAGCTAGCTTTTACATTCGGTATGGTAAACGTCTTATTTAAATTTACTAAAGTCTACTGCCCATATTACGGGATAGGTAGGCGGATTTACTGTTGCCACTACGTGGAAAGTTTTCATTGTTTTTAAACAAGAAGCAAGTATTTGTTACTTGTAGGCAGTTGTAGGCCGTCTATTGTTTGTGAAGGTTGCATGCATTCGTCAAATGACGCAAAAGAGAACTGTTACCCTAACGGTAATTTATTATGATTTAAATTATGATGTCACAGCTCATATATAGTTTCGAAACAAGTTTTGAATTTGTACATACTACTCACTACATAGTATAAAACAAAGTCGTTATCCTCCGTCTGTCTGTCCCTATGTATGCATAGATCTTTAAAAGTACGCACCGGATTTTGATGCGGGTTTTCTTAATGGGTAGAGTGATTCTTAAGGAAGAATACATGCATATTGCACCCGTGCCAAGCCGGGGCGGGTCGCTTGTATATTATATCTATGAAAATGTAATGGCTTTGATACTATGATATATCAATGATTGGCGTCACATCGTCTCTGCCTACCCCCATGGGAGACAGACGTGAGGTTATGTATGTATGTATGTTTATAGCAATAGTTTTTCAATTTCATACACTTCTTTGTTTGCTACTAGCATGGTTGGGATATTAATGACTTAATATTCCCTCTTAGACTAAAAGAGCTGGCCTCGACGAGTCTAAGAAGTCTCCACATACAAAAGAACGCGTACGACTCCGTGTACTTCCACCCTGACTCACTAGAGAGCGCTGCCGTCGCGACGGGCTGCGTGCTAAAGGTTAGTGCAAAATGAGATATTTTATCCCCATTCTTGGGTGAGTCAAAATTATGGAATTATGTAGTTTTTAATCAGGCCTACCGTATTTTTATCCTCCAGTAACGGGCTGTGTAAACCTCTCGTTCTTCGTCCAATAGGGAGTTAGTGTCACGCTATTGGACGTCCAAAATTTGACAGCTGCTGTGATTGGACAATAAACCTCTTCCTATATTTGCGACTGCTGGTGAGGAAAAATAAGTTGGCATTGTTTTTTGGTAAGAAATGGTTCTCTGTGGACCCATTAAGAGTAACGGGTCTATTGTAACTATGGGGATAGTTACAGTTGATGTAAGACTATATTTCTAAGCCATTTCTGTGGTAAACAATAATGATGTTTCTGTTTACTTACTCATGGACTCAACGTATGCGCTAATCACTGCACAAATCCATTGTCTTATTACCTCAATATGTCAATGATCTGTAATAGATTTTCAACCTTATTACAAGATGTTAACGTTAAAATTCTGTTACTTTGATAATGGAATCTCTCGTCCCCTTGACCATCATGAATCTTTTGACAATGATCTACATAAAATCTCGAATTTTATAAACCCATTCATTATAAAATAAACCTTATTGTCATAGATGGTGGAGTCAGTATTAACAAACGAGTGTGGCAGCGGTGTGTGCGTGGTCCGCCCGCCCGGCCACCACGCCGACGAGGAGATCCCGAGCGGCTTCTGTCTACTCAACAACGCCGCGGCCGCCGCCAAGTACGCGATAGACGGCCACGGACTCAACAGGGTGCTTGTACTGGACTGGGACGTACATCACGGAAATGGGACGCAAAGAATTACCTATCATGATAATAGGGTACGTTTTTATCACCTTTTTTTTTTAAGGGGGGAAAATCATCGAATGACTGCTCCCGCCTGGGTGAGGCGGGAGGGAGTGTCAGACTCTTACTGACTAAAAACCACCCCGTTCCTTCTCCTGCACGTCGAGCCGGAGCCCCGGTTACCCGTTAGGTTCTCCGCGACAAGTTTTTATCACCTTACTAACATTATAACTTACTAATATTAACTAATATTATAAATTCGAAAATTTGTGACTTTGTGTGTGTATGTGAGGGTGTGTTTGTGTGAGTGTGTATGAGTGTGTGTGAGGGTGTATGTGTGTGTGAGGGTGTGTGTATGTGTGTATGAGAGTGTATGAGCGGGTGAGTGAGTTTGTTTGTGTGTATGAGTGGGTGTGTGTGTCTATCTGTCTGTCTGTCTGTGCGTACACAATTAAACGTTTAACTCGCCATTGACGGAGCCGAGTGCCTAGTGTGTAAGTTGGAGCAGGCCAATCAACGGGCCTAATGCGGATTCTTTTTTACAGTAACGCCATCGAAGCGTTGCCGCGTTTAGCCCTCTGATTGATTGGTTAATTTAATTGAAGCTCAGAAGGTCCCAAAGTCATAAACATGCCAAGCTTGCCCTAGGATCTCTAATTAGAATCCCATTTTATTTTGTATTTTCAGATCCTGTACATGTCAATCCATCGTTACGACAACGGTTTGTTCTTCCCTCACTCGAAGGACGCCAACTACACCGCCGTCGGCGCGGGGAAGGGGGAGGGGTATAATGTCAATGTACCATGGAACTCGGTATGTTACTACTTATTTATAAATTAATCATAGTTAGTTGTTTTAAGAGAACACTCATTCTTTTAAAAAAACGTAGCACTACACTAAGATTTTCTCCTGTGTCGTGGGTGCGTCTACAAACGTACAATTTCACATACACACGACACCTAGACTCTGAACAACAATCTGTGGGTCACACAAAGAGTTGTTCCGTCCGGGAATCGAACCCGTGATTCTGTGTGCACCTCCGCCTACCCCTTCGGTGATAAAAGGCGTGATCTTATGTTTTGTAATACATATTTATCTTTGTCATACATTACAGCGCGGTATGGGCGACGTGGACTATATGACGGCGTTCACACAGGTCATACTGCCCATAGCATACGCCTACAACCCACAGCTCGTCATCGTATCCGCCGGGTTTGATGCCTGCGTCGGGGATCCGCTTGGAGGTTAGTATTCTATACATAACGATATAGTATGTGTCATAGTTAATTATATAACAATTTGGTACTTGCCAACTAGTCAAATTCAATACTTTTTTCGAACTGTCAAAAACGACAGTTTTCTATGAATTTTGTACGAGATTGTGTATTGTGACGTCACATTATTTTAGCGTCAAATAGCAAATTTATTTCTTAAAATTTGCTGGAAAATTACTAAAATTAAATAGTGTGATTATTTTTTAAAGTTTTATTGTATTGTCAGTTGAAATAATTTATTTTTGATTAAGGATTTAGGACCCAATTACGGTTACTTTTTATGAATGAAAGAGTTTGCTAACTTAATGGTTTTCACACACGACTTGTTGCAAGCGTAAAGCAATACGGGCGTAACAAACAAGTCCTTCTTGTAGAGACTTATTGTCCCTGCGATAGTGAATGAAACGACAACGTCCATATGTGACTATATAATTATTTGTTCTCTTGTAGGTTGCAAAGTGACCCCCGAGTGCTACGGACGTATGACGCAACTACTGCGGGGCCTGGCGGGCGGACGGGTCGTCCTTTGTCTGGAGGGCGGGTACAATATCACCAGCATCTCGTACTGCATGGCCATGTGCACCAAGGCGTTACTCGGGGACCCCATCTACTACCACTACGACCCCAAGACCCCGTGCTCCTGGTCCGCCATCGACTCCATCCGTGACGTCATCGACACACACAAGAAATACTGGAAGTGTCTTAAATTTCACGTCGCATTGCCAGCAGACAGTGTCCTAGAACCACCACTGCCATCCAGAGGCCTTATTATAGACCAAGATCTAGAGATATCAGCGTGCAACGAAGACATGCATAACTTGTCGTCTAAGTCAAGCACAAGTAAATTAGAAATGTCACTGGAAGCGAGCATGGTAAACTTAAATATAGGAAAGAAGTGTTCCGACGGTATACACTGCGGTACAGATGACGAGGATGAACAGCCGAAGCCATCACGGAGTACTGACAACCCTGACGCTGGTACTAGCACAGACAAAACACTCGCCAAAGACGCCCCAACTAGTCCTGGGAAAAGGCCTCTAGATGAAGCCACGAAACCAGAGAAAAAGCCGACTTTAGTCGATTATTTAGCCGAGAACATGCAATCGATACTTGACGGTGAGATGTTTGCGGTGGTCCCCTTGGCATGGTGTCCACATTTAGATTCACTGTACACTTTGCCTGAAGAAGTAAAGTTTGAACAAGGCGTCAAGTGCGTAGACTGCGATCATACCGAAGAGAATTGGGTGTGCTTGCATTGCTATATCGTAAGTACAAACATTCTTAACTTTTTCGTACCTTTTTTCTCTTTTATAGTATAATCATTTAGGTGGTACATTTACATAACAACTAGGTGGTACATTTACATAACAAATAGGCACACCCCCTATTACATGTAACACCCACCTTTTACTATTTATGTTATGAGTCCCATGTGAGCCTATTGCCAAATACCGGGCACAATATTCCAGACTCCGTGCTACTACTGAGATTAAAAAAACCTAGTATTGTAAAAACCTAGTAATACTTTGCCCGACCCGGGAATCGAACCCGAGACCCCGTGCCCGGTAGTCGCACTTGCGACCACTCGACCAACGAGGCAGTCAGAGGCAGTGTACATTTATAATGTCCATATTTTCCTTTTTTTCAGACGGCCTGCGCCCGCAGTGTGAACGGGCACATGCAAGCTCACTTCACAGCCACCGGCCACGCGCTAGTGTTGTCCTTAGTCGATTTGTCAGTGTGGTGCAATGTTTGCGACGCTTACGTTGATAACTCACTACTCTATGACGCTAAGAATAACGCGCATAGGTGCAAGTTCGGGGAGGACATGCCCTGGTGTTATAAGACTGATATACATATGCAATAGGGATATTTACACGAGTAGGTGAAAGTATAAATTGCGGCTGAAATTGATAAACGATCTTATTCTAAAATCTTCACGTTAAAAGTAGTATGAAAAATCTACATCAATCCAAAGATTTTAAGTTGAGGTTGGTTATTCATTTCGGTCTCCAAAAGGGTGTTATCAAAGTATTGGAAATATCACATGAAATGCTATTCCGGTTACAGATACATAATTTAGAGATAGTACAATTTCATCTTCATATATTTAAACAGTCTAATTAATTGTTAACATTAACTTATTAAAGTAAACCAGTGTTGTAATCAAACGTTAACATTCCAGTGTAATAAATCGATGTTTAGAATAATTCTTGTTTATTAGGCCTGAATTAACATAGTGTTTTCATGCAAGGGCCTAGTAATATATCAATGCATATCTTAACCCGCAAAATAAACCTTATTGCTGACAGAATAGAGATGTTAGATAAGCTTAGTACAATGAAGTACAATAATATTATTCTACAACTATTAATAACATTTGTAGCACCCTTGTATATTTATGTAAATAGCTACTATTTATACCTTTATACATTTTTTATGATTTTGTAACTATTTTATGTACCGTATGTCCAAATGATGAAGCGCTACTCAATTTTAACTTCTGTTGCTACAAATTGTTTTTAAAAAGAGATGCCACGATATTTAAGTAGGTACAAGTTAAAATTGAGTAGCCTTTTAGTATTCGGGCGTTAGAATAATTGGCCAGTGTTAGAAAATATCTTACTTTATATTATATTTTAGTGGATTAACCTGTGTTTGTACACACGGCTACACATCGAGCGTCACATAACCAGTATAAACTGAACGTTAAATGTGCGGAAAGATGATGCGACGCGACACCAGGATAAACTGGTTTTGTATAGATTGATGTGTGGCTGTGTGTACGTGTATTCGTTTATTTACTTACGGCCAGTCGCATTGACCTCTCTCTCTGTAGATTACTTATTATTCCAATACCCCGTGGTATGGCGAACGTAGATCTACGCGAGACTCTTTTTTATTGTGTCTCATATATCGACAGACAAGAGGTTTAACCCCACAAACTTTGATGCACCTTAGACATTTTTCTGCTCTATTTTTTCTTACATAACATAATATATTCTCCTAACAATAACAAACACAGAATTAACGAAATCGGTTCAATAGATATTTTAAAAATCTTCGATACGTATTTTTTCTTTTTTCTCGTATCCAAAAAAACATGTAGATATTTTGAGTTACAATGACGCGTGACGTCACAATTAGGTACGATTTCTCCGTAAGTGTGACGTCAACACCCCCCACTCCCTAACTTTAATGCGGAATAACTACGTATTCTTCTGTTAATTTGATAAAACAAAAAATACGTGTCTGATATTTTCGTGCGATCTTAATGACGGACTAATTACTTTTTTGATTTTTTTACCCTGTCGACACGCCTATTGTTCTCCAGATATGCGCTTAGCAACGCATACAGCGATTCATTGTTATATTATTGACTAGCTACTTCCGCGCGGTTTCACACGCTCTGCTCAGCTCCTATTGGTCGTAGCGTGATGTTTTATAGCCTATAGCCATCCTCGATAAATGCGCTATCCAACAAAAAGAATTATTCAAATCAGACTTGTAGTTCCGGAGACTAGCGCGTTCAAACAAACAAACTCTTTCGCTTTATATAATAGTATAAGATGATGTTAAACAACTATTGTATAGACTTTATGTTAAAATTCTATCTCTAGAAGCCTAATCTATCGAGAGAGAGGTTATTGAGACTAGCTATTATTTAACAATAAAATTAATCGTTAATTAGGTTTCGATTTGATATTGTGTACTAAATAGTATATTCGAAGAATAACCAATGGACGAGCTACTTAGCAAAATTGTCAGATATAAGTATCCATACTATACATAACAGTTTGGTCTACCGTTCATCTCTTACAGCCGTTCTCGGTTAATGATTACTGATTACTTAAACTATGCCTTAGTAACGATTTTGTTCCGAACTCGATTGCTAAGCACTGTGTTAAGTAAAAGACTCTAAGTACGGCGAATGTTTCATAACATCCCACATAGATAGATTGCCCCAGTAACCATGGAATGTGATCTAAAAAGTGAAAACACAATACTGAAACGTTATTAAATTTTAAGTCGCGTTTAAGCATAATTTTCTGTCGCGGAGAACGTAACGGGTTACCGGGGCTCCGGCTCGAAGTGCAGGAGTAGGAACGGGGTGGTTTTTAGTCAGTAAGACTCTGACACTCCCTCCACTCTCACCCAGGCGGGAGAAGTCATTCGATGATGTACCCCCCATAAAAAAGTATAGTTCTCTCATTACATTGTTTTTGTAAAATGACAGAAATGGCACGATATTTACCTAAGCCCTACCTAAAATTGAGTAACGTTTCAGTATTCCGGCAATAGATACTTATTTCTGTCTACTCCAGACCTTAGATTTTAATTTATGAAGGACCCAAAATAGAAGTGTTGCCATAGAAATATTGTTTAAGATTTAATCAAATAAACTTTTTTGTGTACCTTCGTATTTTGCATACTTACTTAGGATTACGAAACATTTTTGATTATAGTTATTGAAAGTATCTTTGTGTCGTGAACTCGACTTACCTTTCTTAAAGAACTTTGTAGGTAACCATTGAGAAAAAGGTTTTTATGTGTAATGTATATTATTATAGTATGAAATTATCACACATAAATAAGCAACTATTTCATAATTTCAAGAAATAATTGAAACAAAAAAGTTTATTTTTTAAATATACCTTTCCAAATAAAGTAGTGTTATAGATACAATAACAAGCAGCTTAATAACTGTTATTTTACCTGTTATTTAAATTAATAAAGTAATATTTACTTCAGTTTGTTTTAAAAACATAAACTAATTTATTATACTTTTACTAGCAAGAACTACTTAACCTTACGCTAGGTATACTGTATCTATTTAAATAATAAATTATGGGCAGATTAGTGTGCCAAAAATTGCTCATAATTGTAACTAATACCAAGTATGAATTAACAAAATAATATTAATTAAATTATATAAATATAAATAATATTAATTAAATTATATAAATAATATTAATTAAATTAATTAAATTAAATTAAAAAAAAGTATGAATTAACAAAATCATATCATATTATTCAAATTGGTTTTACTTTCCTATGAAAAATTACTATTATTAGTTATCCTTCGACATGGAAAACTATAAGCCTTGTTTAACAGTGGACGTCTTTTGATTGTTATTGAGAAGCTGTAGTGCCGCAGTACGCAAAAAAAGCCATATCCCCTATTGATTTTGTGTGCTTATCTAAGGTAACCTGCTGAATTAATAAGTCATGATCATAATATTGGATCTATTGACTTAGTCTTCCAAAATAAATAAGAACTTCCTGATTATTTAAAGATTTTTATGAATTAATGAAGGTCAGTTAGTCGACTTATTTCTGCAAATTTCAAGTGAACATCACTATAGCCAGCAAAAGAACTGTCAAATATTATCTGTCAATCAGAAACCGGGGAAAATCGTTGGGTGTCGGGTGTCGGCTAATTTGTTCCGTCTTAAAATGTATTTTTGCATTGACGATAAATTACCTAAATAAATAAAAGTATATATTTGACACACCCGATCGGTGTGTAACCAAGATGTTTGTTGATACTGAGATACTGAAGGCTATTTCATTTAAGGAAACAGCCAAATTACCATGTCGCTATTGGGTTTTGGTGTTTCTCAGATTTCTGTACACCATCCTTCCGCAGCGCGGCTACATACACCCGGACGAGTTTTTTCAAAATGTTGAAGTGATTGCAGGTTAGTCTATTTAAATGTTTCCCAATGTTTAAGTAATAGGTACCAATTGATTATTTCATTTAATATTTTCCATGTTTAATCAATGTTTTTTGTATTTAAATTAAATAATTATGTTCTAAACACATTATGTAGGCGTTCAATTAATAAAGAGGATTGTAGGAGGCACTACCCTTTTATTTGTGTTTAAATTAAACAACAATTCATTGAATAAAATTATTTTATTAAGTAACAGATGGTGTGTAGCGAAATATTATAATCGTTTATTTAAATCGTTTCTTATTAACCTGCCTTAATTTGTTTATTTATAATTTAGTTATATACACACACACACACACACACCAAATATGTATAGGAAATCTACAACTATTAATTACTTTACAAAAAACTGAATTATCTTTACAAACTTGAAATAAAATATAATAACACAAAATAATTGCACATAAATCAATTTATTATCACAAATTTTACAAGATTTTCTACCAATATTATTGTAAAATTAAAATGATATTTTAGTTTTGATTCGTTGTAACAAATAACAATAACAATCTACAGGTGTGGTGTGTAATAACAATAAACAATCCGTCAAGTTAAACATTTTTAAATATACTAGGTTCGGCCCGCAGCTTCCTCCACATTCCCATGGGATAGAAAGTAGCCTGTGATATTCCGGACTATAATGTTAGTGAGATTCCAAATGCCCTATTTATAGCCACAACATGTTGTTATGCAAGAGGGACTATTTCAACATGACACCAAAAATATACTCAATCTGAAATTAGGCCATTTACGAAAATCACTGTCAAAAATTTAAACTTTTTCATGATATTAATTTGCATCCTGAATTTTGTAAATGTAACTTATTGAATAATTTTTAAAACAATGTTTCTGCACTCTTACTTATATGTACAAAAGTGCAGAAACATGGTCTTAAAAATATACCTACTAGTAGGTACACATACACAAAGCTTAATGAAAAAAATATTGCCAATTAATTGAATCTAAACTATTTTGAATCACTATTGTAGCGATGCTGAGTTAATGATAAATCTCATGCTGAGCCATTTTCGAACCTAATTTAGGTGAACAAGGTAGTTTTTTTTCTATCTCAGTCTCATTACAAGCTCAATGACATAATATTTAGTTTACTAACACAAGAAGAATACATGTACAATATGTTATGATAAGAATTACAATAATATAAATGGCATGCTTATCAGTATTATAAATGGACCAATATAAACAATTGAACATAAGTCTTGACATAAAAATCTTTGCATATCATACCTATAAGCATACAAAAAACCATTTTAGTTGAATATCATAATAACATTTTTATAAAACTTATTATGAAATTTTCTAACAAACAAAAAATCTCAATAGGTAGATGTTTTTGAAGATAGCAATGTATCTTCTGTTAGTATCCAATCAAAGCTAACGCCGTTCTTAATTTTAAAGGCGTGAAGCGAGCCAATGCCACCTTTCTAGGATCTCTTCTTGTAACTAGCTATTCGCAAGACTGCAAGACGGCAATGCCACTCTTTTCGTTGTTGAATAACTAACTGCATCAAAACGTATGACGCGGTGGGTTTGTGAACAGGCATAAATTAAGAGATCGCTCTGGCGGTCAGTTTTATTCCCCCTAAGACATGCTGGGCATTATGTATAGACTTCCGCTGTAGAGGTTTTTAAAGGTGTACTTTTGTTTCAGGCGATATCTTCTCAATCGACGTATCAAAAACATGGGAATTCGACCCAAAGTTTCCAATCAGAAATATATTAGTGCCTAAAATGATACTCGGTCCGCCACTTCACTTCATCCAATTCTTCAACCCCTACTTTAAACACTATGTTGGAATTGATCTGAAAACACCATACTATTTGTTGGTGATACCGCGACTTTTCATATGTTTCTTGTCCCTTATAAATGACTTCTGTTTGTACAGAATTTGTGTCTTATACGGACAAAATTTCAGGCACAGACTTACTATATTCGCCAGCTCCTACGTGGTCTTTGTCTACTGTTGTAGAAGTTTTTCAAACACGTTTGAAACGATATTATTTTCGATGCTGCTCCTCATAGTCGCAGAATCCATGCAGAAGTCTGATAAAGTCATTTATCATAATGAATTTCTAAAAGAAAAGTATGAAAATGCTGCTACAACTGTCGAAAAAGTAAAGATTTTTAAGCTTTCGACACATTTACCGCAGCATTCATTGAACAATGTGATCATTTTAGCCACAATCGTGGTCATTGGTATTTTCAATCGTCCTACATTCGTATGTTTTGCTTTTGCTCCTATTTTCTTTTGGCTCCATCGGGGATTGGGTTCCACAGTGGTAGGATTCAAAGATTTCCACTTTAGGATATTTACGTTCATAGTGTGTGGAATACCCTCGGCGTTGTTGCTTATCCTGGTAGATTCCGGATACTATGGGTACATAACGATGGCGGACGTAGAGTCGCTACAGATATCTTGGGACAATTGGGTGGTAACACCGCTTAACTTCCTACGGTACAACTCTGATACCGGGAACCTGAAGAAGCACGGCTTGCACCCACGCTGGTTGCACGTGGTCGTCAACGTCCCGCTGCTGTTCAACGTGCTCGGAGTTCTGGCTACTATTATGCTATCTATCAATGCGTACAGGTAAGGAAGTCCTGACTTATCTTCACGCTCCATGAGAACCTATTATTATTTATTTAACCTAGTATTTACCTACATAGCTTATCTATTGTTCTGGTACAAACCATAATATATAAATATTAAGCCAGTCCTTGCTACGCCTATTTCCTACAATCTGTAGCAGTAATTGAGTTTGTGAATTTAGAGAATTTACTATACCGGCAAGCGTGACCATTTGTTTATTGCTACAATAATATTCAAATATTACGTTCCATTATTTTTATGGGATGGGGTGGCAACCATCAGTAATTCGTATATTACTACAACATGAGGGGTCGTAAATCGTTGTACCTTAGATTAATAGGAATACTCGACATCGATCATCGATAAATTAGTGGACATAATGTTTATCAGTCATAAATAAAGCGAAAGTTGTCAATAACACATTAGTTATTGGTGGTTTATTTTATGATACTATTGACTCTTGTTAATATAACTATGTGATATTATGTGATAATAGATGCGCATACTGCATATGTAGAGTGACTTACTTGATATTGACTAGAAATCCGCAAATTGTTCCAGATTCGTTCGCGGCCAGTACAGCAAATTACCAAGAATCCAAAGTATCACTGGCCTAATGATGTTCTCTCTAGTCATACCTATTGGAGTGCTTTCTTATTTTCCACACCAAGAAGCTCGTTTTATCGTCCCAGTGCTGGTACCTCTGATTTACCTGTTCGGCAACTACCTCTATTCTAACGACATCGAGGGAAGATTTACTAGAAAGTGGAAATTCATATTCCGATACGTTTGGTATTTAATTAATATTTTACTTGCTATATTTTTCGGTTTCATCCATCAGGGAGGCATATATCCGTTAGCCAAAAGCATTCATCAAGATCTTAAAAGAACCAGCAACTATGGGCAACATACCTACGTTGTAACGACGCACAGTTACAGCATACCGACATATTTACTTCAATTAGAGAGCACCACCAAAGTGTACAAAGACAAGAAGACAGGACATAAGTACCGATTGTCGCCTACCACGTTCATACACAAGTACGGATCTATACCTGTAGAGGCATTGTTTGATAAGGTTGATACCATGCTGACTAACGCCGAAAGACTAAAGGCCGAACACAATAAGAATTACAAGTTCAATATTGTCACTCCATGTTCTCTGGATATTGAAGTGAAGAAGACTGCAGCTAGATACAATTACTTCAAGTTAGACCAGGTGGCTTCTTACTTCCCACACTTTAGTTCAGAAGCGCTCCCTACGTTTCCCGGGATAAGGCACGAATATTGTGCCAGAAATTCTAGCGTTCCACCTCACAAAATGATTCTCGCAGAAAGACTAGGATGTTATTTATCAATGTATTGTCTTAAACATTATCAGGTTAGGGTAATAGCAACAAAATTTTATTAAGATTGTGTACTCGTATGTAAGTATTTAGGCCAGTTCACAATTCCACTAAGTTACGTTTTAAACAGGCCGCCTAATTTCATTGTGATTATTTTATTACAATTTGCTCAATTTATGTTTGTTGTCGCTGATAAGAAGTCATCTGTTTCAAATCTGATCTGATATTTAGCCTATAGTATTTTAATGTGTGTAACTTTAACCGCTAGATGAAAATATGTCGTCTTTGTGTTATGTTTGTTAAGTTTTTAGGCAGAGAAGAAAAAGGAGGTTGCTTTGGTAATGTTGCTATAATATATCCTAGTGATTTTTTTCTATAATTGTTTAACAATATAAAATGTAACTTTAAACACGTTTTGAGTTGGAAGATTCAAGTATTTATACTTGAATTATTTTCTTGTTTTGATCACATAGGGACGCAGTTATAGGTGGGTGAGTGCCTGTTAAACAAAATTTGACTTTATCTTCCTAGTAGGAAGAGTTATAATCGTATGTTATTGTTTCACAAACAAATTAATTGCCATGAAATTTTGAATCTCTTTGAATCTCTGCACGTCTGTTGTTGTTTTAATTTGAATATTCACTTTGCCTGAAGGCATATAATACATATTTTTATTTTTCTCCAGTTTTATTTATATACTGGATATAATTATGTATTAATTTAATTAAATACGTACGGGTTGTATATTTATTTTTGACGACAGCTTAATTATAGGATAATTTTGTTAGTTAATTTTGAATTATGAACTATTATTGTTATTAAAATGAAATATTTTTATTATTTTATTTTATTTCGTGATTTGTTAATAAATTAGTATTAAAATTTGTATTATATAACTTGACTGAAAATAGCTGTTGGAGAGTGTAACTTAGAAATCTGTTGTATACTTTGAAACTTATTAATATTGAAACGACAGGTGAAATTACTAATTACTGGAACATTCCTGTTTTATTAAGTATTGTTTTATTGATCCTCTAAAATTATGGGATAAAGGTACACACGGCCACACATCAATCTATACAAAACCAGTTTCTCCTGGTGTCACGTCGCATCATCTTTCCGCACATTTATCGTTCAGTTTATACTGGTTATATAAAGCTCGATGTGTAGCCGTGTGTACCTTTATATTAATTGTATATCAGGTAACAGTATTAATTGTGTGATTTATTATTTTCTGTGCAATAAAGTTACTAAATAGATTGAAAGCAGAACATGTACGTATAAGTTGCAATGCAATGGATCGTTTGCCTATATTTTTTCATTCATTTTTAGACTGACCACCAGTTTGAAATTAAATATTTACGGGTGAAGATCCTATGCTACTTAAGCTGTTTTATATTTAATAATACCTATTATATTCAACTCGATGTCTAGCATTTTTATAGTATCAATATTAGGGAATAACTAATATAATTATATTTCGGTTTTGATTGCATGAATTTTTTCTTTCCCAGTACATGTTTATCTTTACAAATTACTGAATCGATATACATTAAATACTCGTAAACTCATAATGCTTTTTATTATGTAAATCTATGGTATATCTAGTCTGTAGTTATTCTTAATAAAACATTTATTACAATGAACGTTGTTTCATTTGTTTGTCTACATACATTGATATTATATTAATGCCTACATACATAATGAAGACGCTATGTAGATGGTTCCCCCTATACTTATTATACTCTTTGCCCCGTTCTGCGTTGAGATACCAATCGATAAACAGTAAACAGATTTAGAATGTCTGCATCTAGTTTTTTAAACTTACTGACGTGAATTATAAAGTGTGTATTATAGTATATCAATGAACTCATTCGATTTGATGTTATGTCTTTATTAATCGACTAAAGCTGGTGCACTTTCTAACCGTCAATATGTACATCACTAATTTTATTAACTGTCATTCATGACAATGAAAGGCATTGACCATAGACTATGCATTGACAATCAAACCAAAATAAACTGAAGAAACGTGCAATCTGATAATTTTATAATATTAGTATTATTAAGCTTTCTTATTCATAATGTCTTCTAACAACAAAGATCTGAAAACTTGTCTTAAAATGTCGCTTAAAGTCATACGAATGTATGATTGGCTTTTGGACTTGTATGTGTTGGTGAGTGCCGTCGCTCTGCTTCAACCAGTAAACATAAAATATTAATTATTTCTTTAAATAAAAAATCAAGCATTCACTGAAGATTTAATATTTTATTTCAGGACTTCTTTGTCGACGACCATTGGAATAAATTGCCCAGTACCTGGCGACTTACTTTCGAACATATGGATCCACAACTTTTAGGGGACATTCTCTCAAAGAAACCATCAAACACGATGTTACCACTGTCATTTCTGGCACTAATAAGGTCGATTGAAGCCCTTACTATTCCACGAGAGAGGCAGGATATAAATATAAATGAAAAAAAATCTATGGACGTGGATACTTGCAAACATCATCCGAGGCTTAAAAATCTGTTTTTGAAACATGTGAAATTAAAGAAGAGACATGAGATAAACCTAATGGCTGGTGTAGTTGTAGATACTGCTGTACAGACTGGTTGTAACTCTGTGATAGACTTTGGTTCAGGCCTGGGACACCTGGTGCGAGTCTTAGCTTACAGAGATGATTTGCATGCAGCCGGGATTGAGTGCCAGGCACAACTCACAGAGGAGGCGAGGTCTGTACTTTTGGTATGTATGAACAAGTTAACTATTCATTAAGAAAGTTAAAGGTAATTTCTGTCCATTACAATATTATAAAATAGAATTTAACTAAATATTTATAAACTTCTCCATTTAACTGTGCCCGAATAAAAGTAAATTTAAACTAATAAGCTTTTTTATTTTTTTAGAAAACTTGACTTGGAATTAGAGTACACAGCCAAGAAGCACCTATCAAGCGAGTCTGTAAGCAAACTGAAACGCCCTCTACACTTCAATATGACATTATCAACTCACAAACAGCTGATGGGACTTTCTTTACCAGATTGTATGGCAAACTATGGACTTATAGGCTTGCATCCATGCGGGGACTTAGGTCCTTTATTACTGAAACAGTTTGTTGAATGCGAGAACATAAAGTTTATATGTGTAGTTGGCTGTTGTTTTATGAAGCTGACCTGTGATGGTGTTAACCGAGGGTATCCAATGAGTGACTTTGTAAAGAGGTTGGATAGTCATTTGTCCTTCACCAGTAGAGAAATAGCCTGCCACGCAATTGAGGTGTACTGTGAGAGGCTTTGCAAGGGCAATTATGAGGATTTGAAGGTAATATATTTTATTTGTATGTAACATTATAGAATAAATATTGTTTTTTATTTACTATGTATTAGAAGTAACATTCACTTTTAACTAGTAACACTGGCCGCCATTCAAAAGTTAATACTACAACCAATACTTCTCAATTCGATAGAAATCAATAATTCTTTGCTTTACTCGAGAATCAAACGCCTCTTAGTCTTCTAGCTCTCAACCAGTGAATAAATTGTTGTAGGCTAAGTATTTTTCAAAAGGGTCACACAATAAATAGAAATTGCGCATACCTATTTATTTATTAATTAAATAATATTGTACTTACAGATACATGCATACAGGGCGGCTCTGGAAAGGATGCTGGTGGAACATAATCCGAAACTGCGCCACGCACCAGTGCGGAGCATCAAACATTCAAACACCATGTCTTTTGAACAGTGAGTAAGAGAATCCTGAATAGTATGGAGAACTTTCCGATCATAAGATGTTTTATTGTTTTTACATAAGTAAAAATGAAGTCACCCTATGTATAATAAATAAACTGTGGCTTTCATTTGATTACCAATAATTTAATGGGAACTAAGATATTGGTAATTTAATTAATTAATAATTTTGCCCTACATACAGTGCTAGAAACATGAACTCTGTATACACTTTCTCTTTCCTGGCTGGAAGGTACACAGTGTATAGAGAGTTCTGTAGAATATGGACATGATTAAACCTTCAACAGCTTAACTTTATGCATGTACTTTACATTTTATTTAACATTTAAGTTATGTTTTAAAATTGTTTTCTGGCTTCGCATCAACCGCTTCATTTCTCTACACTTCCCTATGATTGCCTGTCCGAGAATGCTTTTTGGCCTTAAGTCCACCATTCACTGCAATTTTGTTTTCTGAAGAAGTTTTAATAAATAGATATTTTTAAGAGTTTCATCAATAATATATGTTTTATCAGGTACTGCTCTCAAGCAACAGAGCGCCTCAACATCTCCCTGCCAACATCCCCAGTGGCCTGGTCCCGCGGCCTGGCGGACCTGGCGCAGTGGCGCCGTGTGGTAGTCGTCTACACACTGCGGTTAGCTTTGGCACCGCTTGTAGAAACCGTGGTGTTGCTAGATAGAGTACTTTTTGTACTTGAACAAGGTTTGTTTATATTTTTTTAAGTCTATATAATTATAAACTACAATCTGCAACACACTGGGGGCTATGGGGGGCGCTAATCTAGCAAGACTAGCAAGAGATCAGTTTTTCTAATCACTGTTACTGTCAAAATTTTACGTCCAATGGTAGAAGACTAGTTAATTTTATATTAGAAAAAAAGATGAAAGGTCCTCACTGGCGCCATATTTTATATGATAAGCAAAAACTGGTGGACTGTCGTGAACTGTTGATAAATACAAATATATATAGAGGAACTATAAAATATTGTATAAATAAAACGAAACATCACTTAACTACATCATTAATTTAATTGTGGAGACAAAAATACACTTATTTTGACACTGAATTACTTTACACATCATACATTTTGTATGTACACCCACTTTTAAATTACTTAACAACACAACGCAACGAAAGCGACTATTTATATCTAAACTTAGTATCTAAGATACAATTTGGCACTTTATATTACTAGTAGTATTTGTACAAGATGTGCAAGGAATATTGGTACTTAAGACTTTAGTAGGAAGGTGGTTTTTGATTTAAATTAATATGTTAGAATATAGTATAAGCTAATAAAGATATTGAATATGTTCCGATGGTTGAAAAGCTTTGAGCCTAAGTACTATCGGCAAAGTTTATGGTAGTAGACTTTTTAAACAAAATAATGTGGCAAAATTGCTATCTCCATAATGATAGTCGACCGCCAACTTTGTAGATTGTACCTTGTACTGCTAATGTCTCAAACTTTACCTTCATTAAACTTTTAATAATTGTCTGAGTCATATTTTAAATACTTACTTAAATTAGGCTCAAAATTATTCAATCGTCCTAGTACTTATAGGTGGGCGCAAACAAACCTAGACTTTATGACTCAACAAATAAGTTGCAATATACCTAAATCAAATATTCACTGCTGAGCTGGTTACCAATGAATATTTGCCATTTTTTTACTAAATTAACAGTATATGCAAGTTAGGCACGCAAGTATTTATAATTATTTTACATCTAGCCTATATTAGTCGCAAACTGATTCTCTTAGATAAAGTGGAAAATAATATATAGAATAGGCATATGAATGAGAAGCAAAAATCTAAAAATGAAAATCTACCGAGCCGGGAATCGAACCCGAGACCCTTTTTCATTTGTCCTATTTGTATCCAGTCGATCAACTCTCGTTGATTAGTCTGATTTTTATAATTTGATTTAAAATTGAATAGCGCATCTATTTTATTTTGATTTCATTATTATTGGACGTTATTTTATAAGTACATAAATTATTTTTTATTGTTTCAGGTCTTTCTTGCGAAATAAGGCCCGTGTTCGACCCGAAGCTATCACCTAGAAATCATATCATAATAGCTAAAAGATAATGTTAACATGACATTTTAAACTTAAACATATAAGTACATAAGGTGCATATTTGCGAAATATGTGTTTGTGTAAATTAATGCTTGTAAGAACGAATTTGTTATTTATGACAAATAAATTGGTACAGATATCTATTTTTATTTTCATTCAACTGGATAGCACTATCTAAATAATGTACGGCACTTTCAATCTATTAACTTACACTAAAATTATATTTTTCTTAAATTAGTCCTTAATGCCATACAATATTTAATCATTCAGCCCTGGACCTCCAGGAATTTATAGCACTCTGAAAAATGCAAATTATTACAACATTTTACTAAATTCAAAGGTACTCCTTGTGAAAAGTAGATAGCTATATTCCACTATTCGTGATTTGTGTCTCAGAATAATTACAAAGGCGGTTATTATTTGAATTATAATTTCGTTCCACATACCTATGTAAATTGCAATTCATTTCTATTCAAATAATTTCGTATCACTTTTTGTCCCATTCCAGAGCTGTCAAAGCGACAATACTTTGCATACATTTACTATTTTATACACTGTTATTAAACACCACAAGACCATGGGCATCAGTAGTAGTCTGCAAAGAGCCATAGAGGAGACCTTAGTACGAGTTTCTTATACGTTTAAAGTAATCGAAACGAGTACGCGTTCGGCACTCTGATTGGTTGGTTCATTGAAGCCGGCCAATCAGAGCGTCGAACGCGTACTCGTTTCGATTATTTTAAACATAAAACAAACTCGTACTAAGGCGTCAGAACACGTGCATACCTTTCCTACAAAATGGAGGAGTGTATAGTTTAGGACGACTTAGATTCTTCCTGGTCAACTTGAAATTTGTAATCTTATACTTTTTATACTTTTGCCTAAACTCGTTTATCTCTGGAAGTAGGTACTGGTTCGAATTGATTTTTTTTATGTGGTATAGTCCTTTTATCGAGAAAGGCTATAAAACATCAAGCTACGATAAATAGAAGACGAACAGTGCGGGTGAAAGTGCGCGGTATTCTCATAATTTAGAAGTCGTACAAATATTTCGTTACCCACTGCATAACACCTTCGTTTGGTAATTAATCCCCATCCCATGTTTAGACTTCAAAAAATTTATATATTATTTTTAATGGGGTCTGCAAGTGAACCCCTTGCAGCCTACTACACTTATACATTATATGGTACCATGGTACCTTAGTGTATATAGATACTTGATTGTACCTCTATATAGATACTTGATTGTATAATATCTATAATTATAACTAACTATGATTCAATCACTCGAAGCTCATTATTTATTCTAGTGATAATAATTGTACGACGGTGCGTTTTGACATTCACATTAATTAAATTTACGATTATACAGGTAGGTACCCTAACGAACAAGGGTGATATCAAACGATTACTGTGCACGAATTACAAAATCAGCTGTTTTTACACATTTTAACATTATACAAAACGCATGCTACAGTCGTTAACATAAAGTTCATTTTGCTTTGCAAGAGGAATATCAGAATCTGTACAAATACTTACCTACTTACACCTTATTTGGCGCTGACGAATAATTTATAGATATTTTAGATCACTCTTTGAAGAGCTATTTAATCTAATTTAAATGTTTGTGCACGTCAAAATCGTTTAAAATTATTTATGTCTATGTCCTTCATACGAAACAAAGACTTGTTTATATTTACATAGTAATTATTTGTTGCATATTTCATGCAACTGAATAGATTACACAGATATGCACTGAATTTACCTTGGCACAAAAAACGCTAGAGTAAATAAATAATTGAAAAAAAATATAAAGGGCATTTAGACGTCCACAAACATTGGGTCCAATGTTCGAGCTGGGTTCACATGTGGCATTGGTTGGCGTGTTGGTATGGGCATCATGCGTTGGCGGGTAATGTTTGTGGCAACATTGGCGCGGGCTCCTCGTCCGAGTCGTCAGAATGTACCCGCGTGAACCGCCGCCGCTCCAGTAGACGACGCAGCTTGAACTCACCATGTCCATACTCCCAACGACGACGAGTCACACCCTTCCGACCTATGCAATTACTGGTTGACTTAACTTTGCACTAATTATATTTTGAAGCTATATTTAAATTATATAAATTTCATACTTTTTAGTGAAGATTGATGAGCGTAATAGATAACTCACAAAGACTAATTATTATTTTCTAAGGCATAACTTGGGTAATAAAGTACCTACGCTTAATTTTCATTACTATTTAAAAAAAGTACTACGATGTTGATGGATATCCCCGTAAGTATTTGGTGTTATCAGGACAATACTTGTGCTTTGAACCAGTGAATGAGATACTGAAGGCGAACTAAAAAGGAGTGTGGCATGCTTGGTGCGTAAATAAAAATACAAAAAGCTGCTTCCAATAAATATATTTAAACAACTATGTTACTGCACATCACAACTGTTCACAATCACAATATTTGAAAGCGCAAATAATAAATTAAAGTGGTTTTGTGTAAAAAGAAATAACAGAACTGAATAATGTGACAAACGGACTAGTGTATCGATTTATTTATGTACTGTGCTTCGCCTCAGCAAAATAAATGTCTTCGACGCGACGATAATATGTTCTTGGCAATAATGAGTGTAAAATTGTGTAAATTAGTAACACTTGTCTTCGTTTACATAATCTAATTTCAGTTTTCAATTTACTGAGGCGAAGCACATAACATTACTCTTACTACCGCCAACAAAATCAATATAGAACATACTCGTGTACATAAAACTAAAAAGGTATGATATCTAATTTATATTTTATATACCTAATATTTCGTTGGCGGTCATAAGCTTCTAGAAAAATCCCAATGGCGTGATAAAATGATGCAAAATAGTTAAGTATACAATTTAAACATGTCTCAAACATTAATCGTAAACATGCAACTTTCCAGGAACTATTTTACACCAATAGTAATATATTTTAACACTACATTATAGATAACCTCTCGGATAAACTTATAAACAAAACAAAAATACAAAAAAAAACAAAGATCTCAATTTTATTCGAGCTACAGAGAAACCAATGTAAAAACAACCCACATTTTGAATAAAAGATCCATAAAAATATAGCATTAGACAAAGTTACTAATTGCTATGGACAAGTGTTAATAAATAGGAACTTTAATCACATTCAAAATTGCGATAATAATTTTATGTACAGTAAACAGGAGATGAACCTACTCCTATCTGTCAAATTGATTGGATTTTCGACTTTATGACAATATTATAAAGTTGAAGATGTAATAGATAAATTTGACAGACAAGGATAGCTTGACGTGCTGGCCACTGTACTTAGACCTTTTTTAAATTCGATAAAGGAAAGACTTCGTCTGTGACAGATTTGTAGAGATATAAAAAAAATTGTCTATTCGCATAAATATATTCTTCGAAATATTATAGCTATAAGATCATTAATTTCCTTGTCTAATGTTATAATAAAAAATTAAAGTAAATGTGCTATGGACAAATAGCTATTTAATAGGTTTACAACCCCTTTAAAATAGCGTAATTATTACATCTACTTTTAGCTTATAAATACATAAATTATTTGTTAAACAACAAATCTTTGAAGAATTAAGGTTTAAAACATTAATATTTATAACCATTAGGGTTATAATAATTAAAACTATATACTTAAAATATTATGCTTAAGCCCCTTTTACTTGCATCAATCACAGACAATAAAAATTGTAAAATATTTGTATATTTTATCTGTATTTCAATTTCATTAATGGAGAATCTTCCAGAACTGATTAAGACAACATTTTTCATGTATGTAACTAATACTGTTAAACATAGTTTATGTCCAAGTTTAAAACCATATATATATAATTTTCACTTAGAATATTATACCTAGAAAATTCTTCATTAATAAAAATTATGAATATAAATGCATACAATTAAGTAACTTGTTTCCATATTTTGTAAATTAAAAAAAATTCATTCATCCATTTTCAAATACATGCATAGGTTCATATATTATAAAGTTATAAAAAACCGTCTTTACATAAAAATATGTAGATCAGATATTACTGAAAAAAAAAAAAATAAAAGCGATGTGTATTTATTTGTAGTCTGTGGTAATCGTTGGTTGGTTGTCTCCAAAAATCCTGATCTTGACCCAATTATAAACATAGATGGCAAACCACTCGAACGAGTACGACAATACAAGTATCTCGGTGCTTGGGTAAATGAAGTATGGGAATCAGATCAAGAAATTAAGACCCGGATAGAAATTGCCCGAGCATCTTTTAACAAAATGAGGAAAGTTCTGTGTTGTCGTCAAATAAACATTAAGCTCAGAATTAGGTTACTCTTCTGCTACATCTGGCCTCTAGTCATGTACGGATGTGAAGCATGGACCGTGAAGGAGGACACTACGAGACGTATAAATGCATTCGAGATGTGGTGTTACCGTCGTATGCTCCGAATCAGCTGGACACAAAGGGTCAGCAACGAATCCGTGCTACAGCGCGTCCAAATGACCCGGAAAATTATGCTGACCATCAAAAAGCGAAAAATCGAATATCTCGGCCACGTGCTTAGACACGATAGATATTCACTGCTTCAACTGATCATGATGGGCAAAGTGGAGGGGAAGAGACGTGCTGGGCGCAGAAGAAAATCGTGGCTGCGAAACATCCGGGAGTGGACCGGCATTACATCTGTCGAACAATTGTTCCGCATGGCTACCGACAAGGAGAAATACAAGAAGCTGACGGCCGACCTTCAACATTGAAGAGGCACTATAAGAAGAAGAAGAAGGTAATCGTGGTAAGTACCTATTTTGTACCTACAATAAAATGTTTGAAACTAATATTTGACATAATATTGTGTATTATGTATGGAATATGTGGACGGTATATAGTGTGTTTGTGTGTGTATTGTATATACCCAGTTTATACATAAAGGCGTACGGTACCTGCCTATATAAGGAATGTAGTGTATAATGATATATGTATATAAATAAATAACGTAATTAATACTTATATAATTATAATTAAAGCTAGATCATTTGTAACATATTACAATGCAATAATTAATAAATTAGACCCTTGTTATAGTGTTTGTAACTCACTCCAGAGGCCATTAGAATTAATAAGAACTTTAGGATAATGTAATAAAGTTCATTCATTTCATTTCATTTAATTACAAGGTATTTTTTATCGTTCCAAATTGTATTAAATATAAACAAAGCAAAATAAAATTTTCGCTGTCGTAATAATAGTCGAAAACCTCAAAAATCGACAATAATTGTCATGGGCTCATGTAATGCGTTCAGATATATTGCTCCTGAATCTACCTAAAACCCAAAAGTAATGAAATTGTCACTAGGATTGCCAGTATAATATAGTGTTAGGTCTATTGTCTAATAGTCAATAGACTTATTTGCTAAGGGCCAGCCATTGGTCTTAACATTTTTGACAGCGACTGTGATTGGCCGAACTGGGCAATTGCGTTATTAACGCCATCTAGTGAGTAAGAACGGTAGATGTCATTGGGAAAAGACCAGGATTTTAAGTATTTAAGGGTATTTGTCGAGTGTAGGGAAAGTAGTGTCGTATGATGTAGGTGTCGTGTGTTCAGTGCACGAGGGGCTCGGCCTCGTATCCCTTACCCGTGTTCCTGGCGCGCAGCAGGGCGAGCGCGGCGAGAGCGAGCAGCGCGGCGGCGGCGGCGCCCCCCGCGCCCCCGAGCGCGCCGCTCCACCACTCCCACGCGCCCCCGCCCGCCCCCACGCTGCCCACTACCTCTGCACACCCACGCCGAGCTTATTAGTTACCATCTTGCACGATACAAATCCCATCCGGCTCAAAAAATATTGTAGCCAAAATTTATAAACTTTCATTCTTTTCTTTCTTTTTTGATAAAACGTTGCCCCCCACACTAGGATTTTCTCCTGTGTCGTGGGTGCGTTTACAAACATACAAGTTCACGTACATAATGACACCCAGACCCGAAACAACAATTTGTGGATCACACAAAGTGTTGTTCCGTGCGGGAATCGAACCCGCGACACGTTGCACGGTATAAACTAAAACTAGATTAACTAAAAATCGCGGTTTAATCACGTGAAAATACTGAGAAAAGCTCTAGGCAACAAAAAATACTAGACAAAGAAGTGAGAATGTGAATCAATATTAAAATACAACTAAATGTGATTTTATGCCTATAATATTTTTTACTATTCCATCTGATGTATAGATATCATTTATGATTATCATCATCCCCAAAAATTATGTACTTTTTGATTGATTGAAGATATTGTCAAAATTAGGTACTTCTAGATTTCATCATTTGTAAATCGGACGAGATTTGTTAAAACATAATTTATTATTATAAGTAAGCGACAAATAACTCTATAAAAAGTTAGTACATTCATGAAAATCGAATGAAAGAGATGAAATGACAAGTGAAAGAGATAGCGATACACTAGTGAAGTTGTTTCAAATAGCATAAGCATTTGACGTTTACCGTAAAAAAGGAACAAGAAAATAAAGCAACAATAACATAGAAAAAGACAGTTAAAACAGACTCAATTACAAGTAAGTATGATATATTATTGTTTGGCAAACATTGTTGCTTTCTTTAAAATAATCTTAGTAATTACTAGCTACCTTTTATGACTTCTGAATACACAATTACTATGGCACCTCTCTTATGACCGTAAGCAACCAAATAATACAACAACAATGAAATTAAGCTACGACACAGAACAGAAATTAACACTTTGGATCCCGTGTCGGACAATGATGATTGACACCAGCATTGCCGGCAGTTAAAGGCTTAAACATCCATTGTAAACTTACATCACATCATTGAATAACTATTAAAAATTTATAATTATTTTAAATTTTGAATAAGAATTTTTAGAGACCTAATTTCATTGTTCGCCAATAGATGCCGAATAAAAATGAAAAAGATAAAAATGATACTTAAACCTTATCGAAGCATAAAATAAAGCAAGCATAAGCAGAATAAGAAGTAAAGGCAATGTTACACGTGCCAATTTAAAGTACTTTTGAGTACCTGACAATAGCATGCTTGTCGGAATGTTTGTTAAAATTAGCATGCTCATTTCAGCCAATCGCCAGGCGTTCGATTTTTGAACATTTTTGTTTTTTTTTTTCTATTTTGGATAGAACCACTCTTAGTTCAGTACGTTAAGGCTGTTGACTATTTAACCGGCCATGAACATTTTTGAGTATGCTCAATAGATGTCAGAGCATGTGTAACAGTACCTTCAATCTTTATTATTCCTTACCGACAGTTGCAGTGGGTTTCACATGCGATGACGTCACATTCTTCTCCAACCGACTTTCATTTTTTAATGCTTCATCCACAAACTTATACACTCTGAAGGGATTTAATTCTGCTACGTAGACCTTTGAGCCGTCCGCTGACACTACGACGTCGTGTGGGTTTCTCAGACCCTCGTCAGGAGCAAAAGTTTGTATGAGACGGCCGGTGGAGAAGTCGATCACGAAGCCTCGAACTGGCACTGGCGTTGGTAAGCTGTTTGGTCCGTTCACTATGTAGAGGCGACCACCTGTGGATATTTTTATGGTTATTAGGTATTTTAGAAAAAAATGGAATAATTTTATTTGTTATCTTAACATCAATTGTTTATTACTGTTAATGTAATTGTTTATTTGCAGTTTGACCTGTATGTATGTTCGTGCCAGGCCCAGATTATCTCGTGATTGGCTGAACCAATTTACATGCGGTTTTCGGAAACGCGTTTGTTATACTTAAGAAAAGGTTTTAGTATATTAATTAACCGTTCAAAAAAGAGGGGTTGGTAGTCGTCTTTTTATAATAGAATTACTAAGGTATGAATTGTATGTTACCCTTGCAAATACCTACTATTCAAGATTATTTTAGAAGGTACCATTCCATTGAATGCTCTTGCTCTTATCTGAATTAATTTCCATTCACCGTCACAGTCTCTTAAACACACAATCCTTTCCCAAGTCCTCAAAATAAGTCTATAATTATTTACCATGAACTGGAGCATAAGCGACGCTGAACAGTCGTCCGCCCATCAGCCAGCTGCTGAAGCTGCCCTCATAGGTTCCATTATCATGTCGGAAGCAGGCCACCCTGCCTCGCTCCCTGTCAGCTACACAGACCAAGCCGCGGTCCTCTGCTAGCGTAAGCGCGTGAGGCACGTTGAACGCAAACGGAGAGTTGCCGTGACCTAGAATATATACAAATTATTGCTGGGTTTTAAAAAATTCTCAGTAGTAGCACGGAGTCAGGAATCGTGCCCGGTATATGGCAATAGGCTCACCCCCTATTACATGGGACTCAACAAGAATAGTGAAAAGTAGGTGTTACATTGTACAGTGGTATAATGTGCACCTCTGCCTGCCCCTTCGGAGATAAAAGGCGTAATGTTATGTTATGGTCAAACTAGGTATTGTTACTGTCAAATAAGTACCTATGTCGTAAAATGTGACAAGTCATTAGGAGATGAGAGGGTAACTTTTATTTTTATTTGATGAGTGCCGTTTGGCCGCTATCTCGCCTGGTGGTATGCGATGGTGCAGCCTTAGATGGAGCCCATAAGCAACCTATTTACTCGGGTCTTGAAGACACTCAGGTTATATCCTTCAGGAAAAACAGCCTCTGGCAGAGAATTCCACTCTATAACAGTACGCACAAGGAATCTAGGAGCCAAGCGCTTCGTACGAGTGGGTGGGATTTTTTTTGATACCATTTGTATCTAACAAATATGTATTAATATTTAATATAATAGACTTAGTACTATACAACAAAATTAAATTTCTACCATTATATCTAGAAACGAAAAGTTATTTTGAGTCAAAGGAAACATTTTAGGGAAACATTTTAGGTATAACAAATATCATAGGTAATATGTAACCACCGTGACATTTGAGACGAAGGGTTGATGAGTAAAAGCTAGCTAATGACCTCCTTAATCCCTGAAAAATTTTGTCGTCCATGTGCCCAACACCCTGTATTGAGAGACTAAAAAATATTGGTGTTATTCTTACTTATCCCCCACTGTAGAATGATGGTTCCATCTGGGGAAAACTTGAGGATCCTGTGGTTGCAGTAGCCATCCGCCACAAAGAAGTCACCATTAGCTAGAACGGCAACTGCACTCGGCTTGCAGAAATGCTTGTCATCGTTGCCCGGTATAAACCTGTTATTAGAAGACAACAGTACAAAATTAATAAAGAGAAAATTAAGCTAACTGAAAACCAATTCTCTATTAAAAATGTTGAATAGTAACTACATGGAAGATAATAATGGAGACATTAATATTCGAATATTCAAACGCCACTTAATTAAGGCGCTCTCAAGAATAGTTCCTGCCACTACGAATTCTTTGCAAAGTGACAGAGATTTGTTTTTAAAGGGGAAAATCATCGAATGGCTTCTCCCGAAAATTACCGAGATAACACGATATTTTAGTACAATGTGTAAAAAGGAGTAGCATTTCAGTATTCGGGAGTTTATATATAGTATAGATTTTAACTTGAGTTGTGGGAGTACCTCAAGTGCCTTTAGACTCATCTCGAAACAAAAAAACAGAATCGAGCTCACAGATAAACTCTAATTTTGAAATCTAGCAGTTAAAACAATCTTGTTTGATGCTCAGAAATATGGCATTAGGCCCCCGCTATTACATCGGACTCATAACATAAATAGTGAAAAGTGGGTGTTCATTGTACAATAGCATTAACTGCCGTAATGTGCACCTTTGCCTACCCCTTCGTGGATAAAAGGCGTGATGTTATGTTGAACTCAGAATTTCATTGCTGTATAATATTTTATTCATTTATTTATCCCATCCAAAATGAATGTGGGCGACGAAGTTGTGTAAACAATGTATTACAGCTTACAGCATATCGACAAAAATAAGATTATTTATTCTACATCCATAATAACAAGAGTTTCTTTTCTTTGTAAATCACGTAACACAATACAAAATCAATAGCATTGTTTTGATTTGGTCCTGTACCGAACTGTAAACAAAGACAATAATAACCGACAGTGATATGATGTAGGTATCTCATCCTAAAGGCAAATAATTATAGAAATAAAACAAAAGTTACAAAAATACATTTCAATGCTGAATTAGGCCAGTTGTTATTGTTTGTTGTTCAGAATGTTGTCTAAATAAAAAGATTATGATATAACGGATGCAAATATCTGAAAACGCTTTGAAATTGTGTGTATATGTTTGTATAGGTTCTTAAAGTATTTCTTTATATCTACCAAGGTTTTTTTGTGTATGACAAAACTATTGGATTATATAAACAGAATTAATGCCATCTATATTACAGATAAATTAAATTGGAGTCTTTGTTTGAAATATTAAAATAACTGCTTTTATGCATATGAATATACATACGATACACTTAGCAAAATAACATTTTTTTTTTAATTTTTGTCTGTCTATCTGTTTGTACTAGCTAATGTTTGAAATGGTTGGACCAATTGTGACGGACTTTTATTGGGAGTTAGCCGATGTACTACGGAGTAATATAGGCTACTTTTATTTTGGAAAATTGGATTAAAAAATAGTTGTGTCCCACATTTCATATTCTACACGGATGAATTATTGGGTAACAGTTAGTAGAAAATAAATTAAGAAAATAATTTTCTTGCTGGTAATGGGCAAGTAACTAATTAACATACACTATGGATGCAAATCTAACAGTATTAATTTTACCCAATTATCATAATTATTTCATAAAAATACACACAAACTTACTTCTCTCCTAGTGTCATGTTTGGCTTAACTTTATCATCTGGTGTGAACTTGAAGACTTGATGCATAGCCACATCAGTTACCCACACATTGCCTTCATTGTCAACTGTGATGCCGTGCGGGATGTAGAACCTAAACAAAAGTGTACTTTATAAATCTTTTTGATAAATAAAAATATTTTTGATTTAGCTGAATTAAGATAAGCTAAGTTAATAGTACGCCAGACAATCCACAAACAGGAAGAGATGGCGGAGATCGTGAGGCAAGCAGTATCGGTCTCCATCTCAAATAGGGCCGCCTCAATGCAATCACAGGCGCTCTGCCAAGAGCAAAAGACAGAGAAGAAGTCATTTAATTTAAATTAGGTACTACTATACAAAATTTTGAAGAGCATTTTATATACATAAATGATCCAGAAATTATGTAATAATATCTACAAATGAGAGAACTAGAAGACCTCTATGATGACTTTTAAGCGTTGTATGTAGAACCTGTTTGCCAACTTATTTGTATTCATCTAAAATATTAGAAAATCATTGAATTTGGAAGTTTCATTACTCACAGATTTTGTCCCCACATATCAACAAGCTCTCCGGTGTCATTGAGCACCAAGATAGTTGGTTCAGGTATAGCATTCTCACCAATACCCTGATACACATCCCTGTTGTTGAAAGTAGTTGCATCCCAAACATTATGGGACCGGTGGAATACCAGCACCTGGCCAGAGTTGTCTATAGCTACTCCTGACACCTGACCCATTCTAATAGATGGGTCTGGCCAATCACTCACCCATTGTGGGGCTAGAGAGAAAAAAATGGTGTTGGTGTTAATCAGATAGATACCGACTTTATTGGAAGACTTTATATCTTACTCAATAAAAATATTTACATGGCTCAATTAACTTAAGTAGTGTTAAAGAAATTACTAAATACGTATTGCGTTTGGGAAATACCCAAGTCTATAGGAACGAGCGCAAAGGATTTTCGTAATTCGCATGCCAAATCTGAATCTGTATGTTCTCCTAATTGTGAATAATTAATTATGTAGAAATCGTGTCAAATATAATAACTTGATTATCGTAGTTAATTTTCATATCGCAAGGGTAAATACATACTGTGTTCCAGCTTCGTAAGCGCAGTTTTTATTTTCTCGTATTGAACTTGCTGGCTGTCGTAGTAACCAGCTGGATAATATCCTTCTTCACCAAACTGAACACAATAAAAAATCCTTTTTTAATCAATCTTCAGATCACGAATACAAAAATATTGCCAATATCTTACCATTCTTCCGTAAATTGAATGTATGATGCATAATAACACAAAGATTTCGAACTTTGGTAGGACACTAAATGTAAGCGACTTCATTTTGTCCGCTTCCTACAGCACTAACTGAAATAAGTTTTGTTTTGCTATTGATCAAAATGATTTTATCAAAATCAACAAGTACTGAGCTTATCAATTTATCACAAATTGACGTGCGGCCGCGATATCAGCGGTATGATTTTGTTTGATGACGTATGCTACTCTAGTGATGCGACTCAATGGCATGGCTGTGAAGTTACTAAACTCCTTTTTATTTTCACTGAGTTTATATTTCTTAACATGTGCCACATTTTCGTATACACAATTATATTCTCTCACTTCTCTTAAATATTTATTTTGTACATAAAGTAGATAGGTATGTTGAAGGCTTGCCTTTCTCAATTTTTTCCCTTATTTTCGGTACTTCAGATGCGGTGGCGGACAAAGAGATTTCAAACTAATAAAGCAATAGGTATATTGCAGCGTGCACCATTCTAGAAACCGTGCTTTCTATTGAGAATTTTTGAATAAAACAATATTATGCAATTTAAGTAGTTAAGTACCTACCTAGTTACATTGGCTATAGCGGGAATTGAACCCGAAACCTCTGTTCAGAAGTAGCACTTGGGGTTGGGTCAAATAACAGGGTAGAGTCATTTCATCATTTTGGATTCGTTTTAAACCAATTGAGTGTGAGTTTTGGTGACTTGAGATTCGTAATTCATGGCTTTTCACCGGTTTTCTTACAAATCGCGTGTAATTTTATAATCTGGGCTATTACCTACTGAGAAACACAGACTCCAAATAGACACTGAGAAATCAAAAAATATTTAATATTAGGTACATACTTTGTTCGTACCGGGAATTAAACCCGAGACACCATTTATTTGCTTTTATTCTGTTATTAATAATTACCAAGCTTTTTAAAAGGACGTTGAAATGTGAAAAGATATTTTACTCGACAATTAAAAAACATAGGTAGGTACTTTGTATCCAAATTATGAAAAAGTATTTGTATTTACTTTCCTAATAATTAATTTCATAAAAATACTGCGTCTAATAATAAGGCAAGGGCCAGTAGTAGGTAGGTAGTAGTAGTAGTAGTAGTATTAGGTAGTTAGTGCCAAGACAAACTTGTAAATAAAGTTTTACTTCTTTCACAGACACAGTTTTCCAAAAATGCTATTTTCAATTAGTTAATTATTTGATTAATTTGTTAACAATATTTTTGCTCTATATGTAGGGGTGTTTTGATAAAGTAAACAAAAAAATGCTTTACACTAAGAAGTTTATTAATTCACACGCACTATAAAGTGCCATTATATCAAACCGGCAAGTAGACGAACATAAAACTGATCCCGCACGAGGATCACACGTGGTACAAGCCGGCTCGTCTCACGCCGAGCACGCCTCTGATTGGCGTCAACATAAAATTCTTTATCCCCTAAATATATTTTATACATTAGACAAGAACAACTGTGCTTGTTCCTGTAGCTTCTTCACTTTTTTCATGTTCTTTGAAGACATTTTCTCTTTTCTGTATAATGAGGCGATGGAGGAGTAAAGCCTCCTCACGAGGTCGCCTCGCGTTCTCTTGAGAGCAGCGCCCGAGGGTCGTGCGCTCAGCAGTCGCTTGTGGTAGAAAGCTAACTTCTGTAGCATGACCGGGTTGCAACAGGATCCAGGGCCTTCTACACGCTCCTCTTTGTTGCCATTTTGAATAGGTTGTGTTGGAATGCTGTTTACTTTTAACTTCAATCTGTTTAGTTTGGGATTGAGTTTCAGCGTCTTCTTCCTCTTCAACATAGAAGACGGTTTTGTAGTATTATAAATTTTTAGTAGATCTAAGTAATCGGTTCTTGGGAGCGCTGTAAAAATGAGCGCATAATGTTGTCCGATCTCTTTTCGGAGATCGTTAGGTATAACTTTTTGTCTTAAATTCATGAGTTTCTCTTGAAGCGCGTACAATTCACTAACATGGGCCGACCCGTCGGCAAGGCCGGCTTGCCCGATGAGGACCATGTTTAATTTCTTGAGCATTTGGTTAATGTTTCCTCGGTTGTTACTCAGCTGTTTGGGGCTGATAACTTTTTGTTTTAACAATTGTTGGTGGCGATTTTGGAGGAATGTCAGTTCCTTGTATATCGCGCTGGGGTCTCCTATATCCTCTTGAAGTGAATTTAATGCATAGTTGAGTTGTCGCAACAAGCTGTTTCTATTCTTCGGTATGACGCTCCAAGTGTCGCCTTCACCACTTGGCTTGGTGGCGGCGGTGGAAACTGGAGTGGTAGGTGTAGGACTGAACCAGTCCCTGAGTGCCGCCTGGAAGGCCTCCTGATCAGCTAACTTGCCCCTAATACCCAAAAATGACGAAACATCTGTGTTCTCAATTTGTACATTGTGTTTTTCTGTGGTTTCCTTCAACCATGCTTTACCTTCTTCGGTATTGAGCTTCTCAACGATGTCATTGGTAACATAGATTCGGGCTGAGGTGATGATATGGCTCGTATCTGAAACTTCGTTGTCTTGAATCATGTTGCCTTTCTTGTCATGGTTTGCAGAGTAGATGGGAATGAAGTTAGGTGCCTTTTCGATGGGCGCTTGAACCTTATTGTCGTTCTGCGTATTTTTGTTAGGTTCTTTTTTGTTGCCTTCATCGGAGGTTTCCTTGCTGACGGAAGTTTTCCGTTGGGGTGCGGGGCTCTTAGTGACACGACGTTCGGGCTCGTCGCCCGTGGACAAGTTCCTCTTCTTGTTAAAATGAGAATCGTGTGTAGTGGGAGACTTGGACTGGCGTTTGTTGCGTTCATTCCTATGCGGCGTGACGGGAGGAGTGATGTGCTGTGGCCTCTGTGTGTTGTCGCCGGAGGGTTGGTAGACTGGGCGGTAGGAGTACACGTGGGGCGAGTTGATGGGGAGGCCGGAGAAGGGCAGCGTGGAGCGGCACGTGTGCACGAGGTGTCCGCGCCGAGAGCACCCGCTGCAGTACATTTGGCTGACATTCTTTTGTTTGGTTCGCTCCAGGTGGCCGGTGGAGTCTATAGTGTTGTGGTACCGGCGCCACACGTCGGGGCAGTGGGTGGCGGGGTGGCCAGTCTGTCCACACTCGTTACACTTAAGGTTGCCCCAATTGGTGCAGTTGCGGCACTTGGATGAGTACATGTGGTTAGGAGAGCCGCAGTTAAGGCAGATCTTCCTCGGACAGCGAGGCTCGAAATGTCCAGTGGAGCCACACATGTAGCAGATGGGCGGCTTCAAGCGACATGTGTCATCTCTGTGTCCCGGCCGGTTGCAATAGTTGCATCTGTAAAAGATAAAAAATGCGTTACTTATATGGTTGTTGCTTGTAACTATCGATGTGATTTAGATAATTATTGAGTTACATTCACTGTGATTTTCAGAAATAAAAATTTTGGGATTCTATTCCTGTAGATTTTTATCAAAAAATTCTCATCAGTAGTACCTATTGTTGTTGATTTTGAATCATGTTTGTTGTTTGGCATATGAAATGATTCTCAATAATATTAATAATATGTAAAAGTTGTGGAATACTGTCTACTGATAAATAAGCACTTACGTCACTTTTCTCTTCTGCAGTGATGGCATCCTATCCTTCGGATCAATCGCCCATAAGTCCTTGTCACCTAAAAATGAAACATTATCTTAGTATACAATCCTTATTTTACAAACTTTATCATTACTCTAATTACCTACTTAAATAACAAGCTACATTTTACAATATTTTTTTAATAGTGTTATAATTAGTTATTTAAAATTAATTAAACCTAAAAACAACAATGATATGAATTAGATCTGTTTGTTTTTTATAAAGAGATGTGTACAAAGACTCACAATCCCCAACATGAAAGTAAACCCTAAACACTTTTGCCTGATAATTCCAAATAAGACTACTCTTCACTAAAATAAGGTTAAAATTCCCACATTTGTCTACTTCATTAATAAAATATTAAGTAATATACGAAAGTATGACTAATAATTTAGTAAGAAGTTTATTTTGAACATACAAACACAATTTGTAACCATAATGAGTTCTTTGATAAGCCTAAATATAAAAAAATACAAACAGTAGCAGGCTGTTTCGAACAATTGACCATTGAGCAATTATGTTGAGGAGTTATGTCATAGTATAGGCCCAAAATAAACTTACAAAGCACAGATTGCACAATAATTATAACTTTGAGAAAAAATATTATTGTGCAATCAAACTTTTGTAGTGTGGACTGGCTGGATAAAAAAACATTCTACCTACTTCGTCTTCAATGTAGTGAGATTAAATTTAAATATGGTCAAAGTTAACCAATAGAAATAGAATTAGTAAATGAGCAATAGAGTTTAACTTACGTGACATGCTTTTCTGTATTTCTCTGTGGTTAAAATTCTCTCCGCCCCAGCTCTCATTATAGAATTTCTCCATTTCGGCCCGTAGAGTTGTCAGAGAGTATCTTCGTTGTTTGCAAACTTTCTCAGTGCCTTTCAAATTATCAAAATCGAGATTTTCGTTTAATATCGAAGGAATTTTGGTTGAGCCAAATTTTGAAATGTCATTGCCAGATAATGTCTCATCCCCGTAGTAATTGTATTCAGAGAATCCTGATACATTACCCATAACAAGGTCGCTTTCTAACTCGGACAAATCCAGATTTACAAAAGTATCGTTCCCAGTCAAGTCTACAACAGAAATGGTTGCAGATGTGTCATTAACACTGGATTCATTCTTTTTTGTAACATGATTTACAGGTTTATCTTGAGAAATGCTGCTGTCTGAACTTTCCACATCAGTATTCTTTTGTTTCGTATTGGGTGTAATTTCTTTCATACATTCAGACAGGTTTGAATCTGATTCATAGACATCAGTGCTGGGTAGACTTTTATCAGTAACAATATATGAGTGATTGTTCTTATTCGTGTCTACTGACTGGTTACTGTCAGAGTCATACACATCTGCACTCGGAATACTTTTTTCGGTCACTGTATATAATTTAGATTTTTGCTTCTTATTCTTAACTTTACCTTTAGGTGTAGCAAAGCACGCATCATTAGGGGTAGGCTTGCTAGGTGTAACGGGGAGGACAGGAGTAGATGTAACTGCATCTTTGCTCTTCTTCTTCTTCTTTTTCTTTGATGGAGTACTCTGTTCAAGTAGGTCAGATCCATGGAGACTAAAATCAAAGCTGGGATTGTCCTGAT